AAAAAAGGCGGACAAAATAAAAGCCCCCCCTTGAACTTCCCTAAAGGAAAGCAGTCTTGCTAACTCCTTGGTTTGAGCCCAGTGAAGCCCATTTCTGAGGCCAGAATTCTAGAACCAGACAGTAACTTCCTGTTGCCATGTTTTAGTAGCTAAAGGAAACGAAGGCACACAGCTCAAAAACATTCCTCTTACCAAATCACACCTGACAGCTGGCACTGTGGAGTGCCCCAGCTGTCAACTGCAAAGGCCAGGACAAGTTTCCGTATGGCACTGTTCCCTGCGGTCCGCTTCTCAGGAGTCTTTTAGTTCTGTAAGACCAAATCTGGTTTCATAGTAATACTGAAATTATTGGCCTTTTCCATTGTCATTTTTAAAATGATCTTTTAATGTGTCTGTGTGAGTGAATGCCACAGGTACACCTGAAGAAGTTAGAAGAGGGTGCTGACGACTGAACTCAAGTCCTCACACTTGAATAGCAAGCACTTTACCAACTGAACCATCTCTCTTTTCTCTTTTAAATTTTTTTTTTTTTTTTTGAGACAGGGTCTCCCTGTAGCCACAGCTGGCCTGGATTCACTATGGAGACCAGGCTGGCCTTGAACTCACAGAGATCTGCCTGCCTCTGCCTCCTGAGTGCTGGGATTAAAGGTGTGTGCCACCACACCCGGCCCCTTTTAATTTTTTAAGAGACAAGATTTCATGTAGCCCAGGCTAGCCTTGAACTCACTATGTAGTCCAGGCTGACCTTCAACTCATGATCCTCTTGTCTCCACCTCCCCGTGTTAGAATTGAAGGCATGCATCACTACGTTGAGGTTTTTGTTTTGTTTTTGAAATAGGGTCTCACTGTATAGCACTGGCTGGACTCATTATGCACATTAGGCTGGCCATGGACTCAGAGATCCACCTGCCTTTGCCTTCCAAGTGCTGGGATTAAAGTAAGGTGCTATCACACTTGGCTTAGTTTTATTCCTTTTAATAAATTAATATTTAAAGTTTAAATATTTCCTAATTCAATAGAGTTCCTAGATATAAACCTCCAAAGCCATGCTGATGCATACCTGTAACCCCAGTAATCAGGATATGGAGGCAGGTGGATCAGAAGTTTGAGCCCAGCATGGGCTACTTAAGACCCTGTCTCAAGAAAAAAGTTTGGGGGCTGGAGAGATGGCTCAGCAGTTAAGAACACTGACTATTCATGCAGAGAACCCAAATTTAGTTCCTACCACTCACATAGCACCTAACAACCACCTGTAACTCCAGTTCCAAGGGAATCCAATGCCTTCTAACCTCCATGGGCACTGCATGGCATAAGTACACTTATACACATGAAGGCAAGGCAATATACTCATAGACATAAAATTTAAAAAATTAAATAAGCTGGGCATAGTTGCCCATGCCTTTAATCCCAGTGCTGGGGGTGGGGGTGGGGCAGAGGCAGGCAGGTTCCTGTGAATTTATGAATTCAAGGCCAGCCTGGTCTGCATACTGAGTTCCAGGCCAGCTGGGGCTATAGGGAGATCCTGTCTCAAAAAGACCAAAAAAAAAAAAAAAAAAAAAGGAGCAAAAAAATAATGTCTGAGGTCTAGGGATGTAGCTCAGTGGTAGAGTGCTTGCCTAACATGATGGCTTCAAGGAGAAGGCCCCCTATAGGTGCCAAGTATTTAAACACTTGGTCAGTTGATGGTGCTGTTTGGGGAAGGCCATGGAACTTTTCAGGAGGTGTAGTCTTGGTGGAGGAAGTATGTCATGGGGGATGGGCTTTGAGAGTTCATAGCCTTGTCCCACTTCCAAAATCAATCTCAAATCTCTCTCTCATTCTCTCTCTCTCTGTCTCTCCTTCCTTTATATGCCTGAGAAGATGGGGGCACTGGGCACTCTGCTTTCTACTCCAGCTGCCTCTGCCACCAACCATGATGGACTCATCCCTCTGGAACCATAAGCCAAATAAATTCTTCTTTAAAATTTTTTTAAAAAAATGTATGGGACTGGAGAGATAGCTCAGTATTTTTATTTTATTTTTATTTTATGCGTATGAGTGGCCTACATGTGTATAAGGACACTCATGTCATGCAATGCCTGTGGAGGTCAAAAGAGGGTGTCAGATCCCCTGTAACTGGAGTTACAGATGATTGTTAGCCACCATGTGGGTGCTGGGAACTGAACCCAGGTCTCCTGCAAGAGCAGCCAGAACTCCTAACTACTGAGCCATCTCTCCAGCCCCTAAACTCTTCCCTCTATAAGTTGTTTTGGTCATGGTGTTTCATCATGGTAACAGAAAAGCAACTAATATACTTGGTATGTGTGACAGCCTGAGTTCAATCAACAGTCATACACACACACAGTTTAAGGACACTTCCCTAAGGAGAACAGCTCACTTCCTGGTAGACTGAAATCGCCCCTTGTTTTGTGAAGTGGTTATTAATCACGTCTCAGTACTACTAACGCATGCTCTGATCCCGACTTGTCTTTCCACCTCAGCGCTTCTGCTGTCTTTTCTGGACCCGAGTTCTTTCCCGTATCTGCAACCCCTCACATTGCCTGCCTACCTTCATTTGATGGTGAAGGACATCTGCAGTGTTCGAAACGTGGACTGCCTTGTTCTCCCAATGTGCCCACCACCAGCAGCAGTTGTCCAGAGAGCAGGGTAAATACCAGCTGGGAAACTTACGGTATAAGATTGGGCCAAGGATGGCTAAGGAGTCAGGGCACATTTCAAATCATGAGTGGCCAATATGGCTCCACTTTTCTCACAACTCAGATTCTTGGCTTGAGGACCAAGGAGCAGATGTGGGAATGTCTCCTGCATTATTCCAAACTATCTACGGAGGGATTTTGCTTTCATCCCCTTGACTTTGTGGTCATGTTGAACTCTTGTACGTCCAAAGGCAGAAAGGGGGCCAGCTGTACCAGCTATACGGTGGTTAGTTTGGGTTACTGGAAGGAAACTCAACTTCAGCTATACAATAGGGGCAGGCAGAAAGAGTATGACTGGTACCAGGGGATTGACTGGATGCCGCCCAGGTCTCCCATCACTGTTAACAGTGGTCCCTGGGAGACTGGGTAACCCAATAAACGTCACAGCACTAAGAAATGCAGGTGCATAGGAGTATGTGGACACCCCATCAGATGAAAACCTCAATCAGCTATGGTACTACCCATAGTAAGAACAGAAAAGCTGGGCATGGTGGCACATGCCTTAATCTCAGCACTCAAGTGGCCAAGGCAGGAAGATTAGGAATGCATAGTGAGACCTTTCATCTCAAAAAAAGTCAAAACAAAAAAACTCCTGACTATGGAAAGGGGTAAAAGGATGCTGTTATCTTAGGCCTCCTGTAACCAGCCATAAAAGTGGAAGCCATCGAAGCTGTTTTTGTGCCCGGTGTCCTAAAGAGCCCCAACGACTACAAATTTGTGTGCAGTGTATGCAAATGTGCGTGTGTGTGCGTGCATGTGGAGGCCAAAGGTAGTCAATGGTGTCTTTTTTCCATCACTTTCCATCTTATTTTTCGAGTCACTGTCTCTCTCTGAACCTCACCAAGGTTGGCTGGCTAGTGAACTCCAGGGCTCCACCCATTTCTGCCTCTCCAGCACTGGAGTATAGGTGTGCACTGCCGTGTCTGGCTGACGTGTGTGCTAAGGCTCTGTACTCAGGCCCTCATGTTTGTAGTGAGCACTCTACTGAGCTCCCTCCCCAGCCATTTTTGTTTTTGCTGAAAAACTGGGGTGAAATTTTAATAAATAGTAGCTGTGTTCTGCCCCTCCCAGAGCCACAACTCCTTCTCTTCCCTTTTCTAGAGGTTTTTATATTTTATTTTAAAAATTGTAAGTGCAGGAGTGTTTTGCTTGCATGTATGGAAGCCCGTGGAACTGAATGCAGGTCCTCTGCAAGAGCACCCCGTGCTCTTAACCACTGAACCATCTCTCCAGCCCCAGGTCTAGAGTTCTTTTAAGATTGTTATTATTGAAATACAGTCTGGTAGCCTGTTTAGCCTTAAGGAATCCCTCTACTTCAGCCCCTTTAGTGTTGGGATTAGGCCAGAATTCCCCCGATTTTGGTGTTGTTTTCCTGAATGAGCCCCACTGGACCTCATCCCTGGTAGGTACCCACAACACTGCCCATACCCTTTGAGTGTACCAGCTGTTCTTGCTGGGAACCCAAGACAGGAATGCACAGTATGGTTCCCTCCTTTTGGGACTGCCCACTTCAGACATCATAAATCAAGCCAGCTCCAAATCCAGGTCCCAGGCTGAGCAGAGACATCAGTGTATGTTCTTATGCAGTGTGTACTGAGATCTCACTGCCCTCTGGTGGTCAGCTCCTGGAAACGTCCCTCCACTCCCACCTCTGCATCACACACAAGCATGTGTCATTCAGCAGGTACTGTCCCTGTTATACAAGTGAGAACACGGGGCTTCAGTGACTGCACTGCCCTTGGCTACAACCCTAACCTTACCAAATCCTAACAAGGTTCCACCCTTTCCTCCCCTGCTGTTACTCTGATCCAGACACACCAGCTTTTTCATGTTTTTTAAGCAGAGCGAATACCAGATTTAAGGAAAAGTGGGAAAGAATTCCTGAGAACGGAAGGGCTGCAGTGGAGTACCTCATACCAGCCCTTCTGAGACCCCGGGATATTGACCTGTGTTAAAATAGTTGGGACTTCACCGAGCCCTTCTCCCAGTGGTGACGCTCACATAGCAGTCCTAAGATACCACGTGGTCTGGTCTTCCTGACAGCACTTCCTTTTACTCACAGCACTCACACAGCAGGGTTCTGAGCTGCATCAACACCTGATGACTGCTCTTCAGCATCAGGCTGATGCCTCCCAAGGACAGGCACGTTCTATCTGCATCACACCGTATCTCCACTGCCTGGTGCACAGTAATGACCACACCCAAAACTGATGGTGGCTAAGCATTTCCATGCCAGCCTTCGAGCCTAGTTCCTCAGATGCCCTCTTTCCTGAAGTCCCTTGTTCCCGGGAAGCAGCCCTGGACTCTACCAAAAACTCACACTGATTTATTAGAATATGAAAAAGGTTCAGCTTCTTCTGTACAAGGTGGCAGAGCGGCAGCAGCTGCGGTGGCTTCCTACATGGTTGTCGACGTCACCTTACAAGGCAACTCCTGCCCCAAACAGCACTTGTATGAGGGGAGACAGAGGGGCCAAGTACCTATAACCCCATCTCTTGGGAGGGAGACCCTCTGACTATTGCACAATCCTGGGAAGGGACTGCTTGTGGGGGTTAGACAGACAAATGGGCCTGGCCATGACGGCAGTAGGGAGGTGAGCCTGTGAGTACAGGCTCTGGGGGTCCAGGATTCTGTCTACTCCAGCAACCCTGGCCAGGGCCAGAGACCCTCAGGGGAAGCCCTATTTTCCAGCACTGGGCTTCATTGCAAGCTGGGTATACAGGTGAGAGAGAGGTTTGGGTAAGAGGTGACTAAGAACAGGCCAGCAGAAGTGAAGGCCAGGTCCTAACAGTGAGGCTGGTGCCAGGAGGCCCCTTGTCAATAGCCTTGAAGAATCATGACAAGCTGGGCCATGTCTGAAACCAGTGCCTTGGGCAAAAGAGCCTGTAGGCAGAGAATGGATTTAGGGGAGGGTGTTAGACAGGCATGGAGGAAGGAGGAGGGTCAGGGGTAGAGCTCTGTCTAGCAAGGGGGTTTTAAATGGTCTAAAAACAGGAGTGCCTCTGTACTTACATGGAGGTGCGAATAAACAAAATGTAAAAAGGCAGCACTTTCTGGAGCCTCAGATAGTTCCTCCCTTGTAGCAGCCCCAGAAAGGCCCAGTGGTCCTGTTACCCAAGTCACTCCACTGTTTAAAGTGCCCCAGCTCCAGGCAGAGAAGCTCAGAGATGCTCCCAGCCTGCAGCTCTGAGTGAGGACAGCTCAGGTGGCTGGCCAGGGTGCCATGGCTGGCAGGAGTAGGGTGGGTCTGCCATCGGTCAACCCATCTGTCTCCCAGTCATATGCCTGATTTCCTCTGATACAGGAAGGCCCAGCCAAGGGCAAGGAGGGCCTGAGGTCCTTCCCTTCCTGGATAGGACCACAGTGGAGCCAGCAGCTCTTTGGTTAGAAATGAAGATTGAAGATGAAGACTGATTTGAATGAGGAGGAGGCTGGAGGGAAGGGAGGGCCTTGAGGCCACGGAGACCAGAGCCCTGGTTCCAGCATGGGAGAGCCTGATCTGGAGATGGGGCAGAGCCTGCCTCACCAGGCCAGTTGTTCTGCCAAATGGATTGGGAAGGCAGTTCTGGTGGGAGGAACTTCCCAGGAGGCAGGGGTAAGCCGTGCTGCAGTAGGGGCTTTGGGCCCAGCTGCCATGCGGTAGGAGGGGGCAGGGCCAATCCAGGTCAGGAGGCAAGGGGAGCTCCCCTGTCCCCACTCTAGTGAGAAAGTCTGTGAGTTGGGCGCTGCCCACTGATCTGGCTCTACTTCCCTTTGGGGATGAAAGGCTCGCCCTCCCCAGGCTCAGGGTGGGGGCCTGGGTCACTGAGGCAGCGCTGTATCCTCTGGGAACTGGGGCTGTCACTTGGTCCAGGGGTGAAAACATCATCGGTGCCTATGGACGAGGGTTCCTTGCTTCGCATCATAATGACTCCATCCTCATCCTCATCTTCATCCTCTTCCGTCACCCTTGTTGGATCCCGGTTTAGCCCTAGGACCTTGCCCTTCAACTCCTCATTCACCAGGTCCACCGACTCGGGTGACTGTGGGGAGGCCGGGTCGATAGTGATGACAGGCAAATCTGCCTTTGGCTCATAGGCCAGTGGGTCTGGGGACCGAGAGTAAAGCACAGGTTGGGTTTTACCTCTCAGCCCTGCTCAGCCTGTGCCAGCAGTTCCCAGAACATTCCCATGGATACAACCATCATGGTGGGCTTCAGAACCTTATCCTCAGGGGCCTGAATGACTCCTCTGTCAGTGCCTGCTCCTCCCCTGTTGCTCTCCTTGGATCTGGGTCTCCCACTGGTATCCCTCCAGAGGCTAATCAACAGGGCTTTTTCCTGAGTCATGACCTGCCTCCCTGCCAGGTGCTCTGCCTATCCTAGCTCCCATCATGGCCCCGATCCTGAGCTCCACTGGGAGTACGTCTGTACCTGGGGTTGACAAGGCCACATTGTTCCCTCTGTCAATCCCCAGCCCCTCCTGATGTGAATATAACTCATGGCATGGGAAGGTCTGACCACCCCTCAGAGTGTCTGAGTCCCATCCCTGTCAGAGCTTCATCCTCAGAAGCTGGCAGAGCAAAGCACCCAACCCTGGGACCCCTTGTCACCCCTTACCTGAGCCTATGCGGGCCCGTGATAAGGTGGGTGAGTCCAGTTTGTGAGCTGGCACCGTCAGGTAGTTGTTGATCTGATAAAGAGGGGACGGGGTGAATGTGGGCATCCCGCAGACAGAAGCCCTCTGGTGGATACCAAGGCTGTAGTTCCTCTTTAGGTTTTCCTTGTGCCTGTGCCAGCACCCACCCTGGCACTTTAGGAGCTCCTGGGAATTTGTCTCAGGCTCACGGTAAACTATGCCAGCTCCTTGGGTAGCCTCAAATGTAACTATTCTGCCTTAGCCTTGTCTCCAAGCCCACAACTGACTCTAAAGTTCTAGACCAACCAATCAACCAGCTAACAAACAGCTCAAAGGGGGACACCTGAGTCCTGAATGGTCCCCATGTATCTCAAATCCAATACATCACAACTGAGCTCAGCTCCTTACTTTCCTTCAAACTCTGTTCCTTTCTTGATATACTCCATGGCCTCTTTGGCAGAAGCACTCGCAGCCCCCTCCATTAGAAACTTGGCCACATCCCCGACTTTTTCCACTTCCATTGGTTCTAGCTCAAACTAGTAGCTAAGTCTTGCTGGTTTCACTTCCTCAGCGTCCCTTATGATTACTCCTTCCTCATCCCTCCCCCCACATCACTCCTCTGGGATAAGGACCAAACCTTCACACTATTAATAGATTTCCTTGGTCTCCTGTTTCTAGAATGGGTATATTTCCTCAGAGGAGCTTGGCAGAACCCTGGGGTAAGAATACATGAAGAAGAATCCAGATTCCAGAATCCTAGAAAGGCAGGGCCAGCTCCAGCCTGAAACACACCTTCTGCTCCAGTTGCCGGGCTTTCTGTCTCCGGAGCAGCATCTGGTTCCAGGCCTCTTCGTAGGGGTCAGCCACCAGCGTGTGTCTGTTATAGGACCGAAGCTGTGGGAGGAATAGCCATCAGGGCAAGGCAGCACCTAGAAGCTGGGCTAGAAGGCTTTGGCCATGTGGGGGGCAGGAGAGGGACAGGCTGGTGGCTGGGCAAAGCTGCAGAGTAGGTGTTGAAGAAGCACTCAGAGGAGAGCTGCTAGGCAGGGATGTAGCCTGGCTGGGCAGGCCCTTACCCGCTGCCTGGTCTTCTGCAGGTTGTTCCTCAAGATTTTGCGGATCTCCTCCTCCTTGTCCTTGGACAGTGCTGGCAAGATGCGGTCAGCACTTCCGGTCTTGGGGTTGATGTTCCTGGGACAACAGAAAATGGGTTACATTTCCATTTTTGTGACACCGGAGCCTGCTGGGTTGGGCTAGGTGGCCATGCTGGGGGATAGCCCAGGAGACTGGTCAAAATCTCAAACCTTTAGTATGGCTCCAAAGACCTTAAGCCCATGTTGATTAGCTAGAAAACAGGGTCTCCTTTGTGGCTGCCCCAGGCTGGGGTTGAAGAGGTTGGCATGGGGGTACAAATGCTACCCAAAGGTACTCACTGCATGGAGACAGTGGAGACAGCAGAAGGGATCTTGCCCATGCCTCCGCTTTCCACCAGCTCGATGGCCTGCTTCATCTCCATTTTGTGGTAGAAGGCAATGAGCTGGGGTTCTTTAGAGCGCTCACCAGCTATCAGACACTTCTTCACATACTTCTTATTAAACCGGTTGAGCCTATGGGAGGAGGAGGGAGATGGATGGGGCCAGTTCCTAGACATGGGGAGATGCCCAGGACCCCAAGCCCTTAATGCTCCTCCCCACCCTCCTGCCCACCAGGCCTGCCACCTACTTGTCCTTCCAGTGGTGGTGGCCATAGTGACCACAGATGTCCTCGATGCCTGTCAGAAGGTGGTCCAGGAACTGAAATGGGCCCAGGGCCAGGTTAAGCCTTACTACTAGGCTCCTTCCCTACCTACCTTCATCCCATGGCTCTGCTTAGCTTGGCTCTGTAGTTTCAGAAGTAACCAGGAGGTGGCGCTTTCCCCTTACTCATCCTCCAGCCCAGTACATGCACTCTGGGAATCTCAAACCATCCCCTCCTGGAGCCATTTGAACCCCTTTCTCTGAACCCACTTGAATCTAAATCTGAGGCTGGGATAAGGGAAGATAGAAAAACAAGGCCTATTTGATCCCCAGGTAAGGAGCCACCTCCTGCAACCAAGGACCCAGCCCAGGTTCCATTACCTGTGTATGGATTTCCTCGTTGATGGAACGTTTCGTTTCTTGCTTTTTCTTCACAGCCAGCAGGTCTACCAGGGGCCGAATGGTCATGCCCTGAGGGGCAGGGCAGGTGGGTGTCAGACACTGGTTCTGCTACCCTGGCAGAGAGGCTGAGGAATCTCCTTCCTCCCAGAGTGTCCCCTGAAGCAAGAAGGATCTCTCCTCTGAGGTCCTCAATCTCCCAGGACCAAAGGGTTTCAAACTCCCCATCTCCACTCCAGCACTTAGAGAAGGGGAGCCCTTAGGCCCACTTCTTCTTGGAGACTTAATAGTTAGATGACTGACAGCTCAAACACCTGAATAAGCTTCAGTGCCTATCTAACCAGGGCCTGGGTTCAAATGTGGGCTCTAGCATGGATTTTCTCTATAGCCCCAAGGAGCCAGGCTTGTGGACAGGGAGAACAATCTCTACACTGCCTCCCTCACAGGCTGTTGGAAGGACCTAGAAATAACAGCAGTAGCTGTTTACATACTTGTCATGTGACAGACCAGGTTCTCTCTACCTGTATCAGTAGTGTTAACTCTTCAATACTTACAACAACCCTAAAAGGTAGGTATTATAAATGTCCCCCCCCTTTTTTTTGAGACAGGGTCTCCCTGTAGCCCCAGCTGTCCTGGAACTCACTATGTAGACCAGGCTGGCCTTGAACTCACAGAGATCTGCCTGCCTCTGCCTCTGAGTGCTGGGACTAAAGGTGTGTACCATCACGCCTGGCTCTTTAAAATATTTTATTTATGCCGGGCATGGTGTAGCTGGGGCTACGGGAAGACCCTGTCTCAAAAGGACCAAAAAAGAAAAAAAATTAAAAGAAAAGGATGTTGGGCGTGGTGGCGTACGCCTTTAATCCTTGAACTCGGGAGGCAGAGGCAGGCAGATCTCTATGAGTTCAAGGCCAGCCTGGTCTACATAATGAGTTCCAGGACAACTGGAGCTACAGGGAGACCCTGTCTCAAAAAAAGACAAAAAAAAAAAAAAAAAAAAAAAAAAAAAAAAAAGAAAAGGCAAAGATGTATCCCCATCTAGGGCTGTATGAGGATTAGCTCCCAGAAAAGACAGAAAAACCAAGGCCCAGGCAGTTTCTCACTGTTCAAGGTCATGGGGTCAGCTACAGGAGAAGTGTACACCCTCCCACACTGGGCGCTTAAGGGAAGTGGTGTAGGGGCTGGGACGGACGTCTCAGCCCAGAAGCCCCTGACCAAAAGGCTGGAAGGACTCTTGGAGATCACTTAACCCAGTCCCCTTATTTCACAAATGGGGATCTGACACACAGAGAGGGAGCACCTCTCCAAGGGTCACACAGATGGTGGCAGAGTTAGGGCTGACTCCAGACTTCCTGGCTCAGAGACCTGTCCAGCTGCCCATATTATGCTGTTGAGATTCTAAGACATGAAAGCACTGCAACCCTACAATGAGCTGGGGTGGTGAGAGCTCAGGTCTGCCCACTACCCAACTTTCTTCAGCAGTTCTTAATAAAGTTGGGTAGCCTGATCACTTTATATCCTGATCACTGACTTCACAATGCCTCATCCTCATAGCTGAGGTACTGAGGCCCCAAAGGGGATGACTTGCCCAAGGTCATACAGCAAGGTAGTGTTACAGTACCTAGGGCCCCATTTCATGCACCACACTTTCCTCTTTCTACCAGAACAGTAGGATCCCCAAGGCAGGGGCCTGCCCATCCCAGGCCCAGCACCTGCACAAAGACTGTGAAAAAGATGACAGTGATGATGGCAGTGAGGAACAGATCACACATGGGAAAGTGCTTCTTGTCCAGGAGGTAGCCCAGGGAGAAGGCGATGGCCCCTCGCAGACCCCCGTAGGCGATGATGAACTGATCCTTGGGGGTTAGCTTGACGATGCGGAACTTGTTGATGAACCAAGTCAGGCCCAGCACACCTGCCAGGGAGAGGGGTCAGGCTGTTCAGGAAGTCCCCAACACTAACCCCACCCAGCTCACTCATTTCCTAGGTTCCACAGTCCAGGGGACTGAGGATCACTCAATCTAAGAGCTGTGTGGGTCTTTAAGAGGGTTCCCCAAACTGCATTTGTTCTGAAGATATCACTGAGCATCCCGGAAGTCAGAGGTCAGGGGACAGGAAAAGAGATACAACAGAGGGTCACAAGCAGCTACTTGTTGAAACAGATGGGCATGTGGGAGATGATCCCATTATCTCTACTTGAAAGTTTCCATAATAAGGCATTATTTCAGAGTGCACTCAGTGGGGGAGAGGGACATAGCAGAGTCTTGCATGCATGAGGACCTGGATTCGATATCCAGTACTATATTCGATCCAGTACTCTCTGCCCCCATCCCCAAACACCAAAAGTATCACCAACCACCACCAAAAACCCCACAGAACCTCCTTACAGACAGCACACACCTGCAATCCCAGCACTCAGCAAGCTGAGGTAGGAGGATTGCTCAGAGTTCCAACCAGCCTGGGCTACAGAGTGAGCCACAGAACCAGAGTCCTGTGAGGATGAAGATGAGGAAGAGTGGGGATTTTAAGACATGCCCTAAGGGGCTGGGGGAGATAGCTCAGTGACTCAAGTGCTTGCTGTGCAAGCAGGAGTTCAGATCCTTGCACTCATGTGAAAAGTCAGGGGTGGTAGTGTGAGCCTGTAATCCCAGCACTGGAGGCAGAGCCAGAAGGATCTCAGAGGCTTGCTGGCTGCTAGTCTAGCCAATTGGTGAGCTCCAAGTTCAATAAGAGACCTTGTCTCAAAAATTAATGTAGAGCGGAACAGAAGAAGACACCTGGACCTCTGGTCTCCACTAGCACATGCACGAGTGAGGCGCAGCTGGCATTTGGAGTAGAACCAAGAACCTAAGCCTGGTCCCCACGGTGACCTTTGCCTGGCGGTGAAGATCTGAGGATGCTTTGGAAGAGCTTTGGGCATGTGTGCTGTGACAACAGAATACTTGGCTCAGGGTCACAGATTGGTTTTGTACCTTGGCTCAGGGTCACAGACTGGTTTTGAACCTCAGTGCCTCCTCAGAAAACCAATAGGCTCAGAATCAGAGGGTCTTGGGCCTCTACTCTGACACTTGACATTGTCTCCAGTGTTTCCACACCCACTATGAGCATGGGCTTTCCTCCCCACCAATGATCCCAAATGGTGTCAGTATTACAGAGAAGAAATGGGAGCAGCCAGGAACCACCCAGCCAGGAACACAATGCACTACACACACCCAACAGGCCGCCCCTCCACATACTGTACAAACTAGACACACCCCACAGCCCAGGCCCTCCACACACTGTACAAGCTAGACACACCCCACAGCCCAGGCCCTCCACACACTGTACAAGCTAGACACACCCCACAGCCCAGGCCCTCCACACACTGTACAAGCTAGACACACCCCACAGCCCAGGCCCTCCACACACTGTACAAGCTAGAAACACCCCACAGCCCAGGCCCTCCACACACTGTACAAGCTAGACACACCCCACAGCCCAGGCCTTCCACACCCTGTACAAGCTAGACACCCCCCACAGCCCAGGCCCTCCACACACTGTACAAGCTAGAAACACCCCACAGCCCAGGCCTTCCACACACTGTACAAGCTAGACACACCCCACAGCCCAGGCCGTCCACACACTGTACAAGCTAGACACACCCCACAGCCCAGGCCCTCCACACACTGTACAAGCTAGACACACCCCACAGCCCAGGCCGTCCACACACTGTACAAGCTAGACACACCCCACAGCCCAGGCCGTCCACACACTGTACAAGCTAGACACACCCCACAGCCCAGGCCGTCCACACACTGTACAAGCTAGACACACCCCACAGCCCAGGCCGTCCACACACTGTACAAGCTAGACACACCCCACAGCCCAGGCCGTCCACACACTGTACAAGCTAGACACACCCCACAGCCCAGGCCGTCCACACACTGTACAAGCTAGACACACCCCACAGCCCAGGCCGTCCACACACTGTACAAGCTAGACACACCCCACAGCCCAGGCCCTCCACACACTGTACAAGCTAGACACACCCCACAGCCCAGGCCGTCCACACACTGTACAAGCTAGACACACCCCACAGCCCAGGCCGTCCACACACTGTACAAGCTAGACACACCCCACAGCCCAGGCCCTCCACACACTGACTGGATAAGCTAGACATACCCTACAGCTCAGGCCCTCCACACACTGTACAAGCTAGACATACTCCACAGCCCACGCCCTTCACACTCTGTACCACACAACACAGCCCTGTTGGTACAATATGCTATATACACCACAGCCCAGCTCCTAGGCACATTAACACATAGATACAAACTACACCATACATATACACCACAGCCCAGTCCCTATAAACATCAACATCCAGCCAGGTATAGGGGCGCAAGCCTTTCATCCCAGCACTTGGGAGGCAGAGGCAGATGGATCTCTATGAGATCTAGGCCAGCCTGGTCTACATAGGCCAGCTGGGGCTACAGGGAACTCTGTCTCAAAAAGACCGAAAAAAAAAAGAAAACCCCAAAAACCAAAAAACCCATCAACACCCACATATGCATCGACTACAACCTAGCCTCACACCATATTGCACATAGCTGCCCCATAGCCTGGCCCTTCCATACAGTCATGCATACACACTCTACATACACACATTCCTCCCTTGACCTGTGTCTGGCCCTCACCAAGCACCCGGGCGATGAGGCAGAAGAGCAGGGTGCTGATGACAAAGGTCCAGTTCCAGTGGTGGGAGCCAGCCACAGTGGAGACACCGAGGAAGATGAAGATGAGGGTCTCGCTGACACTGCTCCACATCTTCAGGAAATATTTGATGGTGGTGTGTGACTTGTGGGAGATGTTTGCCTCCACGTAGGGGCGCATCACTACTCCTGAGGCGATCAGTCTGGGGTTGAAGAAGAGCAGGATTCAAGGTGAGTTAGACTGCTCTAGTACCTACTATTAGCAGGCTAAGTAACTGTTTACTGATTAACTCATAAGGACCAAACACCGTTGTATGCTTTGCACACCTGTTTTCACTTGTTCCCTGCACCAAGGATACTGGGCCAGAACAGTTGCATTTTTCAGGCAAGTGGTCTGACTTGGAAAAATAGTCGCCTCCACTTGCCAATGGAGGCAAGTGGCAATGCTACAATGCACACTAGGGTCTGTTTAACTCCAAAGACATTGCCTTTTCCCAGAGCCAAGGGCATCTGCCCAATGACATATTCTGTGGACACTTGCGTTTTTTCCCTCTGCTTATGATGCTCCCCTGATGGACAAGGGGTCCCTCCAGGGAGCTTTGGTCTAAGCAAGCTTCCTCCCAGTTGCCCAGAATCCCCCAGTGTAGACTGGCCTGTGCACCTCCACTGCCTCTCCACAGCCCACAGACCTCAGACCTTCTAAGACTCAGGCTTGGTAAGATGCCTAGAAAGCCCTTTCTGGGGAACCTGGGGGAAGGAGCACGGGGGAGCTTGTCAGCTCCCATTCTGGGACTCCCTCTGTGACAAAGGAAGGAAGGAAGAGGCAGTGCAAAGACCTATGACTTGAAGTTCAGGCCTTCCTAGGGCAGCACCAGATTCTGCTTCCTGTGCCCTGGGCAGGCCCTAATATGGGTCATTTTTGCCCCATCTACTTCCAGATAAGTATGCCTTCTTCCGGTTCCTGAATCCCAGAGTCCAGTGAAGTACCTTCTTCCAGGAAGCCTGTAATGACCTCAGCCATTCAAGAGGCTACAAATATGAAGCCTGGAGGTCAGATGCTGGGGAGCTCCAGGTGACCACAAAAGCCTGGGGACCCCATGCCAAGTAGCCTCCCCTACCAAGCCCACCACCTGCCACGCCCAGACTCACGCCATGATTCCTGACAGGTGGAAGAGCTCAGCTGACAGGTAGGCCATGTAGCTGTAGAGGAAGACGAAGAGCGGCTCGATGACCCGGATATGGGAGGTGAATCTGGAGGTGAAGGCTGCGATGACCCCGTAGACCACGCCCACAAACACCCCGCCTAGGGCCACTACGAAGAAGCTCAGAAAGCCAAGGAAGATGTCCGAGATGCCCACTTGTTCATAGCTGGCAAACTCCTCAAAGAGGTGATACAGGACCTGGAGAGGGCATTCAGGCTGGTGGGCAGGAGGGCATAGCCATGGCTCCCTGTGATTGGCTCATGCTGATCCCATCCCCTCTATAGACTGGCTGTACCCAGGTCACATGGTTGCAAAGCAGCCCTAGTGCTAAGTGAGTGTGCAGAACCATGGCATGGTGGGATGGGAGGATGGGGGGTGGGGGTGGCTGCCAGAGGGGTTCACTGGAGGACTGCAGCACAGCCGGCTGGTTATGAACATCAACTCAAGTTGTGCAGCCAAGTGGGATCCTGGCTCTGCTGCTCCATAGTATCCATGGCTTATGACTCAGTCTTCCTGTGCTTTGGTTTCCCACAAGATGGGGACAGATGGAGCACCCATGGTCCTGGCTGTCATGAGGATTAGGTCAGTGAAGTGCTCAGTGCTATACTGGGCACCATTCATTACTACCAGAAACACCAAGTCTCTCACTAAACCATGCCCTCTCTGGATTTGTCTCTGCTTTAGCATAAAGCAGGTAAGTTCAGACAATAAGCTAGAACAGGACTTGTTATCTGAAAATCGATGTGGCCAGGTCATACCCAACCTGGGACCTTCTGTGTGGAGCTAGGAAAGCTTAACAGGCTCCCCAGGTGGTTACAATGAACAATTAAGTTCAGATGCTGTGGAACTGAAGACTCTCTAAACCTTCCAGACCTGGACTGGAAAAGTTTCTGCAACACTACTGTTACACACGTCTTTATTGGTATATGGACCTGTTCCCTTGCTAAACTGAGGCTCAGACAAATCAACCAACATGCTAGAGGGCCCCCAGCCAAGGAGAGGTTCTGGGCTCAGAACTTGTTTCTTCCGCCTCTGTGTTCTACTGTCTTAGGGGCTGGCACCATGGCTCCCAGCGCACTCAAATCCAGCCCTGGACAGCTCTGCCAAAAACCAGCTGGCAAGTTTCTAGGCCTGGAAAGAAGGGGAAGCAGGCATGAGAGGGTGACAGCCTCAGGTGCAGCTCCACGGTCGGTGAAAGAGGGCATTCACACCTGTACCAAGTGCCAAAAAAGACCCAACTTGGGCCTGGCAGGAAAGGTAGATGCTGGGTGCTGGCCGGGCCCAAGTGCTGCCTGGTTCACAGCTATCTGGGAGGCAGGATGGGCCTCAGCAGGTGTGCTCGGTCCTGAGAAAAACTCACTTCTGGCCTGGGGATTTGTGGGTGCTCATGATCTGCCACATGGGCCCCTGGAGCAGGTGGAGAGCCAAATCTTCCTTTCTGGCCTTGCATTATTGCCAGTGGTCTGACAAGAAAAAAGGGAAGCGACATGGTGTAGACCTGTGTGTGGGCTCTGGACTAGAATGCATAGCCTTGACCCCGGCAGCATCTCTACCATTCTGGGACTCCCTTTGAGACACAGGAAAGGAGGAAGTGGCAGGGCTGAGACCTACAGTAACCTCATAACACCCCCATTTCTTCATCTGAGTAAGATGGATAAGAGTGTCATGGAGTTACTTGAGGCTCAGAGAGGGCAAGAGGCATTCAGACTGGAAGTGCTTCAACACCAGCAATTGCCACTATGACCACCACTGTCAGGAGACGGGCACAGGTCCAAAGCAGCCAGATCTGCATTGCCATTTGATGCAAGTGCGCCACAGTTCCCAGTACTGTCAACTGAACTCACACCCAGCACAGCTGGGGGGGGTCATCTTTGGCATCTACTGGCTTCAGACAGATATTAATGAGCAGAACTTCCACGGGAATCCCAGGAATACAGGCTAGGTCCTGTATGCCCTGCATCACAGGCGAGGAAGCTGAGGCCTTGTGGCAACCCTGGGCAGGGGCTGGTGCTTGAAGAGACCAAGATGGAGGACTGGATGATCAGGCCAGGGTCTACATGGCGCTATGAGAAGCAGTGAGGGGGCAAAGGAGGAAGTTGAGGCCGAGGCTAGTGAACAACACTGTTCAATGTGGAGGTGCTGAGTCCTGTGGGGATGGAGATAAACAGGGAGTGCTTATGCTAGCAGGGACCAGGCATGCACACATACATGCCTTTTGTGTTTTTTGGTGTGTGTTGCCATTCTTTTTAAGAGTTCAGCTTTGGAGAGGACACGAATGTATGGACACATACCTATTTCCTGAGAAAACTGGCTGGGTAGGTACATGTAAACACAGTGCTCCAAGTACAGATCCTTGCTAGGCCCTTGGAGGAAAGCACTAATCTCTGCCCCTTGACAGCTGTCAAAGGAGAGGTCCAGAAAGGTACATGCTCTTGCTTAAAGTCACATAAAAAAGTCAGCCAAGACCTACATACTTTACTTATCATCTTCTAGAAGTTTGGAGAGGTAAGACTCCTTTCCATGGTCTTAGCCCCAAACCCTGTACATACCCAATTCTTGTTTCTTGGGTTTTTTGTTTTTTTTTGTTTGTTTTGACACAGGGTCTCCCTGTAGCCCCAGATGGCCTGGAACTTGCTATGTGGACCAAGCTGGCCTTAATTTCACAGAAGATTCACCTGCTTCTTCCTCCCAAGGGCTGGGATTAAATGTGTGTGCCACTGTGTCCGGCACATAGGAAGTTCTTAAAACAGCCAACAGGAAAGCTAAAAGGTCCCTCAGAGATGAAATGGGCTATAAAGAAAGTGAGGCCTGAGGAAGCTAAGTAATTTGGCCAATGAGGCTGCAAATGACCTATTAAGGCCAAGAGCTCAGGCCCTGGAATGGGCAGACCTGGGTCTGGCACAAGGGCTCTGTCACATTGATTCATATCTCAGTTCTAGCACATTCTAGCAAGTTGCCTAACTTCTTTAGGCTTGTTTCTAGCTCTGTAAGATAAGAATAGCAAATCTCTACTCAAGTTTTCCTGAAAATTGAGGGAATCCACGTTCCAATGCTTAGAGTGGTGCCTGGCACACGGCAAGTGTGGAGGGACAGGAGCTATGCTTATTACTGTTATAGTTGATGGATGAGGGATGAGGGATGAGGGATTGGATCTGTGTCCCATGTGCATGTGATCATGGCCCCTGGCCCCTCACCACAGTGACAGCATCATTGAGCAGGGACTCCCCGAAGACCAGGATATGTAGCAGTTCGTTGATATGGATCTCCTCAAAGACAGCCAGCACAGCCACCGGGTCCACGGCTGAGATGATGCTGCCGAAGAGCAGGGTGTCCAGCAAGGTGATGTTATTGATCTGCTCGCCTCCCACTAGGCACACAGCATACAGGAGGCCGCCCAGGAAGAAGGCGTTCCACAGCGTGCCCACCACAGCAAAGATCAGGATGGTGCCAAGGTTCTCTGTGAACTGCCGCAGTGGCAGGAAGTATCCTGCATCCAGGATGATGGGCGGAAGTAGGAAGAGGAAGAAGACGTCTGACTGCAGGAAGGGAGGCGTCTCGCCCACGCCCTTGATCAGGCCCCCCACCAGCAGCCCCACCACGATCAGCAGGCAGCTCTCCGGGACGATGCTCGAGATGGTGGGGATCACATGGAAACCTGTGAAGGGCGAGAGAACGGGAGGCCGTGGGCTTTTCGGGGGAGCCAGAAGAACAGAAGGTTGGGGACAGGACTGGGGACCAGGAGGGCAGCTGGCGAGAAGTGCACAGGCTTGGTCTCAGAAGGCCGCTCTGTTAACTCTCTGAGCCTCGGCTTCCTTGCCTGTAAAACGGAAGGGATAATACCAGCTTCACAGGGTTGTGGTATAAAATAAATGATGAGTTTTACCTAAAAATTTTTCATCACATTTATTTATTTGTGTGTGTATGTGTGTGCACGCCCACCATGAGGGTGGAGGTCAGAGGACAACTTGTTGGAATCGGTTCTGTCCTACCTTGTGGGTTCCAGGGATTGAACTCAGGTCCTCAGGCTTGGTGAGTGGCAAGCACCTTTACCTGCTGAGCCATTTCTCTGGCTTGATATTTTTAAAGTACTTTTCTTTTCACAGGACATTCACAATAGTCTCTGCTAGTGTCATAAAACATTTGAAAGCAGCAGCTCTGCATGCCTCTAGAAGGCAGAAATTAAACTGATTACCAAGGTGCAAAGTATCTAAGGCATTAACCTATGTCTGAACCCACACATCTTTCAGGAACAAGTTCAGGGAGGCCAACTTGTGCCCCACACAGAGAACAGCCTAACAATTCTGTCTGAGGGAAGGTGGGGCGCTCCATGTCAAGGACATGCCAAAGGCAGACAATGGATGGTTGAGAAGTGGCATAGGAGACAGGAGACAGAGGAGAATCAAAGAGCGTCAGTGCCAGAAGGAACTTGGGGACAACAGGCCTGGGTCTGCAAACCTGCAGAGCATATGCAGTGACCTCCAATCCCAGACTTGCAGGCAGAAGTCGGCTGTACATAATCACAGCATGCTTTCCCGAGGACACCAGGCAGCTGCTCCAGACAGGGTTCCAAGAGGTCAAGAGTCATCAGTTTTCGGCAAGTGAAACAAAATCTCTTTCCCATCCTGCTTCTAGCCCAATCCCACTCTAAAGATAGGGCAACTAGGCTGAAAAGGTGAAGGGGCCTTGTCCAAAGTGACACAGCAAATCAGGAGCAGAGCCAAGAAGAAATCCAGGTCTGATCCCCAGCTCCCATCAAACTCTGTAGTTAGGAAATTTGAGCTCTCCTAGCCTCCGTCTCATTAAGGCATCCATACACCCCTCTGCCTGACACCCACCAACCATTTCCTCAAGCGGAGCTGGCCAGCAGCAGCATGTCATTCTCGGCTGTGGACCACCCTGGGGCTCCAGGCCCAGGCTTCTATAGACACCAGGTTTGGTAATAGAGTCCCATGTTCCCTATGAGCTCTATGGTTTGGTTTGGTTTTGGAGTAGGGAGGTGGGTGAACACCTGGACACCCAGCTGTATGTTGGGTACTAGATTCCCAGTGTCAGCTTGGTCAAGAGATTGTGAGCCCTTTGCTCAGGAGACGCCTCCTCTTCTTCCCTTCCTGCCTAGTAAGCTCTGAGCTGGCAGATTTCACATTATACACATAGAACTAAGGACAGTAGGTGTTCAACAAATATTTGCCGACTTGACAATGCCCAGGTCTGGGACATACCCACAATTCTGTGATATATCTGGCCAGACCCCTGATCTCATTACTCCCAAGACCTCTGGGAAGGAGGGACATTTCTCTTTATGCCAAAACTTCTCCTATGTTCAGGGACTGAGACACACAATGGTAGCACGGACATAATTTCCACACCGTGCCAAGTTCCCAGAAGACACTCAAAACATTGGGGTGGGGGGGTAGTCTCCATCTTAGGGTAGGAGGAGACCTCAAAGCCATCTTGTACATTTTCCTGATTTCAAAACAGTCACTCTGTGCTGAAAAGTTCTCTAGTCTGCAGAGTCTACCAATAACACCCAGTGTTCAGCTGGCTAGTCCATGGAAAGGTTAGGTCACGTTGGTCTAAGTCTCCGGCTGTAAGGGAAAACATCCAAACTTTCAGCAAGCCTTATCATCTGGTCCCATCTCATGTCTCATTCTCCTCCTCAGTCCCTAATATCCAAATTCCTTGCAACTGTCCCCAACGAGCCATTCTCTTTGTCCCGCAGACCTCTGCCTAGTCTGCCTCTCCTCCATTCCTGTACCTCCACCCCAACCACGTGGCTGGTTACATGCCCAGCAGCCTCCTCCTACAGGAAGTGTTCCCTGACTACCCATCCTGTCTAGGGTAGGGCAAGTCGTCTGTGGTGCCTCTGCCTCTCACAACCTTCAAGCCAGTCATCACCCAGGTTCTTCTTTCCCGGGCACCCTCTGAGGTCAATCAGATGAAGAATGAAGACAGAGATCTGCACTGCCTGAAGGGAAGATGGGAAGGTATGGGGCTTGCTACACTGCAGATCTTGAATGGTTCCCCACAGCCCATTCTTTAAAAGGTTGGCACTATCTGGAGAACCTGTAACAGGCAGGGTCCAGTGGGAGGTTTTCAAGTTACTGGAAGCATGTCTTTTAGGAGTGTGTGGCCCCTCCAGGATCCTCTCTTTGCTCCTTGACTCATGATTTTGTTCTCCCATGGAATTCCACCATAATCTGCTGCCTCACCACAGGCCTAAAGCAAGGGAACCATTCAATCTTGAACTAAAACCTCCCAAACGGTGGGGTAGAGGAGATGGCTCAGTGGATAAAAGTGTTTGCTGGTCCAGCCTGAGGAACAGGAGCTTGGATCCCCAGGGCCATGTAAATGGGAGGTGGGAGTGGTGGCTTGCCTGTAATTCTAGAGCTCCTGAGGCAGAGACAGGGATCCCCAGAGCAAGATGAGGCTAGTTGAATTGCTGAGTTCTAGGTTCAAGGAAGAGACCCTGCCTTAATATATAAGGTGAAAAGCAATATAGAGGAAGACTCTGACCTCCATATCAAGCACACACACGCACGCACACACATACCCCCCCCCAAAAAAAAAACCCTCTAAAACTGAATCAAGATGTTAAAGTATTCTCTTTAAAGTTGATTCAGTTTAAATCCTGGTGGCACAGACCTTCCCAGCACTTGGGAAGCAGAGGCAGTCAGATCTCTGTGAGTTTGAGTTTGAGACCAGCCTGGTAGGTCTTACATAGAGAATTCCAGGCCAGTCAGGTTACTTAGTAAGGCTCTGTCTCAAAAAACAAAAAATAAAGCCAAACAAAAGATTTACTTTTATTTTTATTCATGTGTAAGTGCACCTGCTACAGGTGCCTGTGGGGGCCAGAAGTGGGTTTTGGATTTCCTAGAGCTATGGAGTTACAGGTGAGCCGCCTGATGTAGGTGCTAGGAATCAAATTTGGGCCCTCTGGAAGAGCAGTAAGCACTCTTAACCAGTTCAACCCTCTCTCCAATCAAAAGGGAGTAGAATTCTTTTAATTTGTTTGTTTTGTTTTTTGAGACGGGGTCTTACTATGTGACCCTGGCTGGCCTCCCTCCCCAGTGCCGGGATTAAAGGCATACGCCATCATGCCCAGCCTAGGAGTACAATTCTTACAGGTATGAGCCACAAGGCAGCCTCTCAAGGTCAAGCTCTAGGGGCTGGTGAGATGGCTCAATGGGTAAAGAAAGGCATTTGCTGTGGAGCCTAACAATCTGAGTTCGAGTTTGATTTCTGGGATCCATATGGTGGAAGAACAGAACCAATTCCCATAAGCTATCCTCTGACCTCCACATGTGCACTGTGACACACACACACACACACAGCTCTAGCCAGCTGACCCTCCTCAAGTGTCATAGGCCCTGCCCCGGTGTTAGCAACAGCACTGCCTTACAAGACACAGATTAAAGAGACAGAGACAACTCAGGTCACACAAAAGATAGTGTCTATCTCCATCCAGCAGGAAGGCTGGGAAAATGCCTCTCACCCTCTGTCCTATCGGTCCAATCCAGAGCTTTCCTGGCCCATGAAATGCCAGACAGTGAGTGAGCTGGCATGCTAAGATGAGCTAGCCACAGCTCCTGCCTGGAAAGGGGTGCTGAAACCTTGGCACATGCCCTCTCACACCTAACAGCCCTGTAGGATGGTATCACCCGTTTTGCAGAAGACAAGCCTGGGCTCGGCAAGGCAAGGGTTAGGGAGGGTTCCACTCTAGCGCTGGCATCTCAAACCTGGAGCAGAGATACTCAGCCCTTTGCTCCAGTGCCAAGATGGCTGTCCTGGGCCCGGGGACAGTGAGGTTAAAGCTCAGACTCAGAGACTTTGAGAGGAGCTCATGTGGATGGCTGTAGTTTTCTGGAATTTGGGACCTTCATCACAGGTAAACAGCTGGCGTTCCTACAGGACAGACGAACTTCGAGAGGCAGGTTCCAGGCTTCCTGACCAAGGGACTTTCTTCTACTTAGAGATGGCTCTTGGGGTACCTGGGCTGCCGTTATGTTCCTGGCACCCCTCCCCACCCCCCACTCTTTTGTTTGGCCCTGCTTCCCAGTATTCTGCAGGAGCTCAGGGCCCTGAGGGGCCTCTGGGCCAGAGCAGAGCCAGGCCCTGGCTTTGGGGGAGGACCTGGATCTGTTCACTCTAGGCCTCTTGCCCACAGTGGGTGGCACATTACTGGAAAGGGCTGGGGCGGGGGTGTCTGTCAGGAGGAGGAGGCTCCTCAGGGAAAGGAGGGCTGTACCGGCCTGTGGTCTGTCCTAGCTTGTCTCTCTCCCAAGATCCTGATTCCAATCTCCTCTCCCTGCACCCCCAAAGAGCCTAAAGTACAGGAAGCTGCCTCACACCTGTGCTGAAAGGGGCGTGAACAACAGTGTCCCTGGGATGTTGACAAAGGGTCAGCATTGCAACAAGACCCCAGGATGCCAAGAAATGAGGCTCCTCCAGGGCTCAAAACTGTGGCAGTGGTGACCTAGCCTGGATGGAATCTGGGTGGGATAAACACGGAATCAGATCTAGAGATAAGGGAGCTAGAATGGAACTCAGAGAACATTTGATTCTCCATTTTGTGGCCAGAGAAATGGAGATTCCAAGAGAGCCAGTTACCTGTCAATGATCACAGGTCCAGTTCCACAGAGCTCTAATGCTCTAAGG